GATAAATCATACAATAAGATTTAAATTAACCTCTTGCCGTCCGCCCGTAGTAGAAAAACGGACGGACGGCACTGCTGCATTGGCGGGTTGCAGTTCGCCAGACGGCATTTTTTTTCTGCTCGCGCGCGCCCCCTAAAGCCCACCTGAGAGCCGCATAGCCCACCTAATAGTGTGCAAAGCCCACCTGAGGGTTGCACAGCCCACCTGAGAGCCTCATAGCACACCTGAGGGTGTGCATAGCCCACCTGAGAGCCACATAGCCCACCTGATAGTGTGAAAAGCCCACCTGAGGGTTGCACAGCCCACCTAAGAGCCGCACAGCCCACTTGAGAGCCGCACAGCCCACTTGAGAGCCCGCACAGCCCTCCTGAGAGCCCGCACAGGCCACCAAGCCACCTGGAGACATCAGGGCGCCAACCAAGAACAACACACAGTATATAGCTTCATATTATTTTGTATTGCTGTATAATGTATTGCTGTAGTCCTTACTCCCTATCCTGACTGCCTCTCCTCACTCTCTCCTCTATATTCTCCCCAAAAAAAAGAAATTGCCGCGCGTGGCGCTAGAATGTTCGGGTTTCACTTGGCGAAATGGTGGCAACCCTAATGCTAATGCTTTGGTACTTTGAATCACTAACCTGTATAACATGTATAAATACATGGAGGGGAATTTATCAAAACTGGAGCAACTGTGCATGGCAACCAATCAGCTTCTCATTTTCAACTCTTACCTGAACAAACTGACGTAAGAAGCTGATTGGTTGGCATGCACTGCTGCTCCAGTTTTGATAAATCCTCCCCACGGAGTTCTAACTCTGATTTTCTCTTGCTGCATGCTTGTTCCTAGTCTGTGACTCAGGAGTATTAAAGACATATAGAGCCAGGCAAGTAGCCTTTGAAGAAGTAGGTTCTCGGTCTCCACATTTCTATCATGACAAATGTACGAGTGAAGAATATGGATAACCATTGCTGGCATAATGCTGAACATGCAAATTGCCTGTGTGTCTCTAGTTGCAGTGCTTTGAGTCACTGACCAAAAAAAGGTATGCAGCCAATTAGGTCAGAAATACGGAAACCATTGGATCAGCCGGTGCAGTAGTATTTTCAGAAGGCAAGGTTAAGAGTAGCAGACTCTCCCGGTACAGGTTACTTCTCTGGAAGTAAGGAGGCTCCTTAAGACCTTTTACTTCTGGAAACACTAGTTTCCTGGCTGTCATGCCAATCATGAAATCTGACTTTCCTTATGTGCTTGCTCCAGGTCAGTGTCTCAGAGAGTATTGAGGCCAGAAACAGACAGGCAATGTATTTTTATGACAGGTTTCATATGAAATATACAGATAAAAGGTATGGGATAGTTAGGTATAGAATAGGTAGTCCACCGGTGTTGTTTGTGCCATTTTCCAAAGACCTTCTCAGAATTTCTTTGGTTCTCTTTGACTTTGCAGGCAGGTGAAGGAGCTGTCAGGTCCACTTTAAGACATTTCTCATTCCATTTTCAGTGGTTTTTCCTGTCTGCTGAGAACATTCTGCCCGCTGTGTCCTTTAATGTAATTACAGGATATTGGAAGTGAATTCAGATCAAACCAGCAAGTTAGAATAAATTGGGCAAGGGATAGATTCTGATAGCACCGTGTTCCGCTTACATCTACCTTTTTGAGGGGTTGTGGTTTCTTGTACACTAAAATAAGCATGACATATGTAGTTTTATGTGTCGTTTCCATTTACAATGTTTTCTCATGTGCAATGAGCTTTTTTATTTTTTTTTATTTGCTCCAATGATATCCCTCCCCTCATGCCAACAAAATTCCAATTTCCAACAGATATTAGTCTAAGGGTGATTTTTATGTTATCATTTTAGAGAAATTGGCTTGCCCCGCTTACTTCTCACACAGCATTGAATAGAGGTGCACAGAAATGGACATTTCAAAACGAAACCGAAATCTAAAAAATTCAAAACCGAATAAAAAAAAAAATGTTTTTAAATATTTTATTTTTATTACATTTTTTACAAACATTTTATT